TCTCTCTCTCTCTCTCTCTCTCTCTCTCTCTCTCTCTCTCTCTCTCTCTCTCTCTCTCTCTCTCTCTCTCTCTCTCTCTCTCATCGAGTCCCTCCTCCCTCTCCTCCTCCTCCTCGTCCTTTTATTGCCATGGTCTTCGTCGTCCTCCTCCTCTGTTTTCCTCCTGCCTGTTCCTTCTTCGCATCTTCATCCTCCTCCGATCCTCCTCCTCCACGTCTTCGTCCCCTTCCCAGTCCTCCTCCACGTCTCCATCTCCTCCCGCTCATCCTCCACGTCTTCATCTTGCTCCCGCTCCTTCTCTTCCTCCACGTCTTCGTTTCCTTCCGCTCCTCCTCCTCCTCCACGTTTTCCTTCTCCTCCTGCTCCTCCACGGCTCCGTCTTCCTCCCGCTCCTCCACAGCTCCGTCTTCCTCCCGCTCCTCTTCCTCCACGTTGTCGTCGTCCTCCATGTCTTCGCTCCCTTCCTGCTCCTCCTCCACGTGTTTGTCCTCCTCCCGCTCCTCCTCCACGTCTCCGTTCTCCTCTCCCGCTCCTCCTCCATGTCTTCGTCCTCCTCCCCCTCGTCCTCCTCCTCCTCGTCTTGGTCATTGTCATGCACTTGCTATAACCTCCTTCCCCCCCCTCGCCCCTGCCCGTGCCACATGGTGGGCTTTTTCGTTTTTTTTTTTCTTTTCTTGTGGGATGTTTGTCGTCGTGTTTCTCGAAACTTGCTCGTGCTCCCCGTCACGATCATTAGCTCGGTCGTTGGCGTCTTCGTCCCGTTCCACGTCCTCCTCGTCCTCGTTTTGCCCGCCATGTTCCTCGAAACTCACCAGCTAGCACATGCACTAAAGACGAAAAATATTGCTTTTTGTATTGTTTGGTTTTCAAGGCTTGTGCAGTCTTACGAGGAATAAAGTTTCAGGACAGCAGTCTAGATTTGGCTATTTCTGTTCCTTGATATTCTTCATTCCAGTTTTCCGGGTTGAATTGTGAGGTCCCCGGCCTCCTTTTTTTAGCTATAATGGAATGCCCTATACGGGCTAATTTGTTAAAAACATATATATATATATATATATATATATATATATATATATATCGTCACAAACAGAACTGCCCGGTAAAACCGTAGGCAGAGAGAGAGAAGAGGACAACAAACGAGGGGCTGTNGCCCGGTAAAACCGTAGGCAGAGAGAGAGAAGAGGACAACAAACGAGGGGCTGTGACAAACTGTTTCGTCGGAGTTTCACCGACTCATCAGGAGGCTGAACCCTCAACAGTCTGCAGAATCCCCTCACTGATTACACTAAATGATAATCTACCTTAACCAAAATCAAAGTAGACTATCATATATATCATCACAAACAGAACTGCCCGGTAAAACCGTAGGCAGAGAGAGAGAAGAGGACAACAAACGAGGGGCTGTGTATATATTGATTCAATGGACCTGAAACCAGGAAAGTACAATAATGGGCCTCGCTCCACCACTGGCCAAATGTGAAAATGACAAAAAATGGTGTGCATCTTTCCACCATGATAGCGATCCGGACCACCGGACAGGGCTCCGGACCGTCCGAGTCCGTAGTCCGGTGTATCTTCCCATGTTCTAGCGGAAGATTCATTCTCATGCAGCACGTTGCTCGACGCCCGTTACAAGCTTTTCCCCCTTTTTTTTCCCAGTTTTGCTCTCGATCTTTTCGACCCTTCTCCTCCCCTTCCCATCGTCGTCATCATCATCTCGCTCCTTCTGCACGTCTTTGCAGGTGGCAAGTCTTCCCATGCAGCAGACAAAAAATATGGGTGTTTCTTGCCATGAATGCGGTGAATCTTCCCGTGCAGACCAAAAATATGGCCGCGTATCTTTCCATGTTCTAGTGGAAGATTCATTCCGCACGTATTTGCAGGCGGTGTATCTTCCCATGCTGTGGTGGAAGATTCGTTCTCATTCTCGTCATTTTCCTGTCGCAAGCTTTTTCCGTTGTTTCCCCCCCCCCCCCAATTTAACTTCGGATCTTTGTCCTATTCATGGGACTCTTCTCCTCCTCCTCGTCCTCGTCATCATCCACCTCCCACTACGTCTATCTCCCGCTACGCTCCTCCTGCACACACGTCTCAACCTCCTACTCGTCTTTCTCGTCATTGAGCCGCTTTTCTTTTCTTCGCTCTTCTTCGTCCATCTTCGTCGTGGTCCCCCTCCTTGTCGTTGTTGTTGTCCTCCCTCCTCCTTATTTGACCACCACTCCTAATCTTCCACCTCCCCGTCTTCCCCCCTGGTCTTACTACTACCACTTGGACTCCTCCTCCAATGCCTTCTAACGGCCAGTTTATAGTTGTGTAGCTTACCATTCGGCACGGACACTTTCGGTGTTTGTGACCCATGAGGGGTGGCAGAGCACCACGAATCTTGGAGCCCATTCTGTTGTGTTCGTTTTCACAGAAATTTCACCTCAAAGTGCTTGGGGAAACGCTGTCCAAGTTCTGATTGGTTCAATCAATCAATCAATCAATCCTTCTGCTGGATTGATTTGTTACGATCCTGGCCAATTTTGAAGTCCACAACCATCAGAAAGTACAATGCCTGTCTCTTATACACATCTAGATGTGTATAAGAGACAGGGTAGGACCCGTGTGAGTCGAAGATGTAACAGGT